TCCCCAAGTTTGCTATCTCTTATGCAGCAGTCAGATCTTCAAATTGAAGAGTTTATGAGGCACCTGAAAGTTTGTCAGAAAGAAAAACCCTTTGATCTATAAAATATTTTATTTGAATTCACTTTCAACTTACTGGACTACCTGTTTTAACTCAAAAGCTTATTGTCAAACATTACATCATTCTGAGCTCTCCTAAAATTAATTGCCAGCTTTCTTTTGGGATTCTCTCTCAGATGGCAATTACTGACCATAATAGTTGTGCTGTTGGCAGGGGCAGACTGACTTTTCACAAGCTTTTTTTAGAAATGGGCCAGGATCTTTTGTGAGTTCCCAGGCAGCAGAGATGGAATTTTACAGAGTTTCTCCAAGCAGGGTCACCAAAAGTTCTTAGGAAGCAGATTTTGGCTCTTGTGCTTTTTTGGGTCACAAAATCTTGATTTACCAGATTTTTTTCACAGTGGAATAGATGTCCCTAGCTCTGGGACTGGAGGGAAGCTGGTAGAGAGGTGACATCTGATAGAAATCAGGTTATTTTGATGCCAGGGAGCAGTCTATGGTTTTGACTTTTTTTTTTTTTTGTTAAAATATGTTTGGCAACATATGGTAGAACAGTAGCAGTGGCTTTAAGGCTGCTGGAGGCAGCCCCAGAAGAGATCCTGGGGTTCATCTTGACTCCCTTTCAGGTACTAGACCAGAGCAATCTTTTTGTACAAGCAAGGTCTTTGGATGTGATTTCTGAGATGGAAATAAAAGTTAGTCTGCTGGGTTCAGCCCACTGCCCTGAAGTAAAACTCAAAGTGACAACTGCTCTACTCTCTTTACTGATCCTCTGGGCTAAGCAGTCTCCTGGGAACCTCTGTTTGGAAATCTATTAAGATTTCACAAGTTGTTCAACAGCTTCGGGAGAGCAATTAATGATTTGCAATGTCTCTGAAAACTGCAATTTTTAAAATGAGAACGAGAAGATGAGAAAAGTCTTTCTCCTTTACAGTTACAACAGACAATGTAATATTTTCCCTAATTTTTTGTGCCATCTGTCCAGATTGAAGTGCTCCTTCCTTTGTTGGGTCAGATGTCCCTCTAATGTGTGAATAGACAGATTTGCACAGAATTTTATCTAATAATTTCCTTTGAAATACTACTTGATGTATCTTTTTCTACTTGAACTTCACAAAATCCTTCAAGACTATTATGTAGATTTATGGAGAAATGTATTTTAAGGGAACAGTGACAGGCAGTGAGTTTCTGCTATATTTGAGCTGTGTAATCTAAGAATTGGAAACCCCATTTGCCTTTTAGTGAATTCTTGGCTTTGAAAGTCTTCCAGCAGATAGATTTTGCTGGAGCTTTATTCTGGAGGTACTGCTGTAGCAGAAGCTCCTTTCAATATTTTAATCACAGCAAAAAAAAAAAAAAAAGTCTCTTAAGAAATGCACTGCTTGGTGGAGAGGCCAGGAAAAAGACCTGCAGATTGCAATGTTCAGTATTCAAATGCATTTTTGCAGCTGTCAGGAGTTTCTCTGCTCCTTATTTCTCTGGGGTTTGCTTAACTTCTTGCTTGAAAAGTATATTTTCCTAGACACTCAATGCATTAATGTGAGCTGCAATCATCATGAGCACAGTGGTTATGATAGTTTTGTCTTAATAAGAGTGATCTCATCATGGACATCATTTACATGGGGTAAATAATTCCCAACACATGCAGACTATAAAGACATTGGGAGCTTGTTATAGGCTGATGTCATGGGAAGAGCCCAGTCTCTTCAGCAGGGACTCATCAGTTTATAAAGGTCTCTAAAAGATGTCTGACTTTGAAGTAAGAAGAAAAATCAGGGTGGAAAAAGCTGGTGTAAGTTCTTAAGTCTCTGTGGGCTTTGACCATTATTATCAATAGAATCTTTCAGTTGCTTATGATTGCAAAATAAAAGAGACTGTAGGCCAAATTAATAAGAAAACCTACTTTTCTTTTTGTTTTGTTTGTGAAAATAATCCATAATTTATAAACTTAGTCTTTCAAACAAAAAAGCAGCAGGAGTTTTCTTTCCAGAATTCTGGCACATTTGCTGAAGCTCAAAATCACTCTTTTTTTGTTCTTTTTATTCTTTTTTTACTTTCTTATCATAATTTACATAGTGTGAAGTGAGTGAGAAGGGCTACTGGTAGGATTTGGCTACATAATTTTACACCTGGTTTGCATTAATATAAATGAAGTTAAACTTAGTGGATAATCAGTTCTGATTGTAAACATCCCCCAATGCTTTTTAATGTTGTCATTGAACCATTTTTGAAAGGATGCCACTGCCTGGCTAAATCTAAACCCAAAGATTTTGTGAGACTTGGCTTATGTGGATTTATAACATGGCACTCAAAGCAAGGAAATATTTTCTAATAGCACAGAATTGAAAACATGATCTCAGATATGAAAACTCAGCTTTGTGGAACATATCATCACTTGGAGTAGTATATGTGTCTCCATGAATATTTTTTTGGTTAACTAAATAACCACATTTAAAGTCTAATCTTCCTTTTTCTAGAAAGACCTTTGTGAAGATTGATTAGTTGGTGACTGTTGTCTATTAGGTTATGGATAGCTATGCAGCCATAACTATAAATACTTCTACATAATGTCTTTTTATTTCACTAAGGAAAAAGCTGGCCCAAGAGCTCACTATTCTTGTTTGATGTTTCTAGAACACTTCCCATTCCACCCTAAGTACACTAAGAAAAGTTTGTGTAGAAACTATTTCAGTCTCTGTTGAGCTGCAGCTACCACAAACTGCATTTAGCAGCATAAAAGCTGGCCACACTGCCCAACACTTCAGTACAGGAAATGAAAATAAATGCCATGTTAATGTCAAGCTGGATGTGTTAGCTGGGAAGTCTGGCTCTTCCCTTTTAGAGATGTGGAACAAAAATACCCCAGTATATAAACCTTAAGCATCACTAGACTTCTATTTATACCTCTATAATTAGAACTCAAATTCATTGTCCCATCCTAGCTGTTGGCAGAGGAGAGAACTGAGCTGGGGAGAATCAGGCTAGAACAGCAGTTCTGTCCAGGGAACATGAAGTGACTGGGAATCTGTGAAAAGTATAAAATGTAACTTTGGTACACATGAATTTCTAGAGTACACTGCAGTGGGTTTAATGCCACTACAGTATGTGTCTGTATGACCCCTTTTAAAAGAGACTGGGATTTTTGCTGTTTCCATCAGTGGGAATAGAATACAGTTTTAATTTTTTGTGGCCTTAACACACCTAATTTTGTGGTGGTGTGATCCTGGAACAAAGCAGAGAGAAAGAGGAATGTAAATCTATAGGAGATAGGTTTGATCTTGGTGGAGAGATAACTAGCTATGGGTGTTGTTTGTAGTAGTTAGCCACATGTTATGCTTTGTGTGATGTACTGTCTCTGTCTCTTGAGCTGAGGTCACTTGAGGACAGACTGGGATTTTTTTCACTTTAAGTGGTAGTGCAATCAGGCTCACTGCATTTACTGAATGAACTATCATCCAGTGGGTCTACATTAAAAACTGTTTTGCAGGGTTAAGATCAATTACTTGTTTTTGCTTTGGATGCTTTGCATTCTTGCTCATGGTTGGGTTGGTGTTATGTGAGAAGGGAGGGTTGTGGGTTCATACTCATATACTCATGTAGCTGCAGACATACTTTACCCAAAAAGTAAAACAGTCCAAAACCTCAGATCAAAAGATGGAGACATTTTTTAAACCTCTGACAGAAGTAATAAATGGAAATAAGAATTAACTTTGTCAATTTTCACCCCTCCCTCAATAAATCACTAAAATCTTGGCTTTTATCTTAGATGGATAACACAATAGGCACTAGAGCACACCAACATTACGCAAATACTTCATGTGCTATCAATTATTTTGGAAGGAGTCATCATCTGAATTGTGAAATGCTTTGACCTTTTTTTAAATGAATACTGTAGGAAGAGGAGAGTGTTAGTTAGGCTGACACATTGTTTCTCTTGTACTTGTGTGGGTATATTTCACAGTATTCAGAAGAACACAGCAGTGAATAGGGTCCCTGCCTCCATATCCAGCCCCTCCTGACCTGTGGAGTCATGTGGAGCCAGAGATGACCCTGGTACGTGAGAAGGGGATAGAAGTGAAGTGAGCAATAAAATTTAGTGTGCTGCTAAAAAGCATTTGGATGTTATGAAATCAAGAGAATACATTCAATGGGGATGCAGCTGTGCAACCCTGACAGTTGATGACTTTCAGTCTTCAGCTAGTAGGAAGGTGAATGCCCCTGATGGAGTTAGGACACAGAGCAGGCCCATGTGCCTGGAGTGTGTTCTCATGGAAAGCATTCTCCTAACAGACTTCTTCTAAAGTGAAAAGATGGCCAAAATGAATATACACCTGTAGGGTGTGATGAAATAACAACAATGAGTTTCATTAGAAATTTTCAGAGATATTCTGGATTTCAGATTTGATGTACCCACTGATTTAAAGTGATTAACTTTGAACACTCATCTTTGCCAAGGCTGACATTCTCCAGTTTAGTTAACACTGCTAGCCATGTACATTTTTTTCCTTTATTTTTCTGAAAAACATCTCATTTTTAGGCATTAGCACATATTGATTCCATCAACATTCCCTCAATTATTATGAGCTTCAGAATATGTTTTGCCCAGAAAGCAGTAAGTCCTGTACTGTTCTCTCAGTTGGCTATGCTTGATTTCTTCTTAGGTTGTTTTCCATATATGGGTGTCAATGCTTTAATCCAGCTGGGTAGGTGGAAGCTGAATTAAATTGGGTATTTTCCAGTCTGCATCTTCCATATCTCAGTATTGATTTCACAGCAGGCAGTCATGCACAGCACCCAGCTGGGCACATGGCTTCAGACCTTGAGGTGCCAGCAGCCACCTGCAAACAGGGAGCTGAAACCAAACACCTTGAACAAACAGCACCCTAGGCAAACCATTTTATTTTATTATCAACTTCAGAGTTTATTAATTTATCAAACCAGGTCAAAGTGATACAACAAGTACATAAATAAGTACTGTAACAGACATACATCTCATGAAGAGAATGCAAAACATGACACTGTGTATTTTGTTCTCTTTAGTGACCAGAAACCGGAAAAACACAACACTGCATTTTACTAAATGATGCTTATGATTGTTTTTTGCTTTTCTTAAGAAGTGTTTATTATAAAATAAATACACAATCTCGATTCCACCAGTCCTGTCACAAATCCAAAAAAGCAGGTTGCCATCCTTATAAAAAAATTACAAACACTGTACACTTTCCACTTAGTCTTTTGCCACCAGCTACTGCTACAAACAGACAATGCCTGTTAGGTGAGAAATCAACTGCTGGTCTTCTCACCAGAACACTACAATTCCTCAGAACCTCTTCCTAAAGATTTATAACAACATTTTACAGTCCTGCAGCACATTTCAACCCAGTAGTTGCCATGTGCAATCAGTGCTTCTCATGCCAAACTGCTTCTTCTACAGTTACACTGCAGCTCTGGTGCAGTGAGGTCTTAGGGCCTTTATTTAGATATGCTACACCCCTTTCCAACACCAGGACAGGACTTGTGGAAGTATCAGTCCCCTGGAAAGGTGGCAGGACAGTTCACTTAGTTCTTCTTTTCATGAACAGTGATAGAGGATTTCTCTTAGCCAGGTGTTCCTGCATTTCAACTTGCTGCACTTTCAAATGGCCTGTATGCCCAAATCTCATCTGCTCTCTGTCCAGCCCTAGGGGCAGCAGGGTGGTCCTGACATCACCCTGGATGTTTTCTCCTAATTCTCTTCAGCCTTTCCTTCACCTTCATGTCTATTCTTCTCACTTGCTCCTCTTTGTTGAGAAGCTCTGCATCCCACTCACACACACAGCATGGCCAGGCCCTGGGTGCCATGGAGAAGCCTGGTCCTGAGGCCTGCACTGCTGATGGAGGCTGCCAGGGTCTGCTGCCCCAGCCAAGGATCCCCTCACCATGGTGAAGCTCTGCCTGAATGGGCTTTTGGCATTCAGCACCAATCTTTCCCACAATTTCATCCCTTTAGGAATGTGGACACCCTTGAGTGCTGTCACTGGCAGAATGACAAACCTCAAAATCCTTCCTGTCACTGTTGATTTCACTCCCTGTGAAGCTCCAGCCCCTGGCTCAGGCCATTTCCATAAAGCTTTGTTTCCTAGCTTGTGTTTGAACAGCACTATTCCTGTGCTTGTGGAGTAGAAAATGGGAGCAAAAGCAGGCAGAGTCACTTGCATCTTGGGATTTAATCCAATATTGCAGCCACAGGGCAGTGCAGGATTTTGGTGAAAATAGTTTTCAAATTGTTATAATTACTCTGCAGATGAAAGTCACTTCTCTTAAACACACTGTAGATGTGCTATACTAAATTTAACAGAATCTCTCAGATTTGAGAAGATAACAGTTGTCACAACAAGCAGCTGCTTGTTGTGCTCTACAAACCTATAGCTGTTTGTTGTTTGTCATGGGAGAGAACTATTCTTGACACATGAGAATTGAGACGTCACCCTCAGAAAAATGAAGATTATGTTTGCAACAACTCAGAACAAATAAATTAAGTTCTGTCACAACTTTTAAGGCATTATTAATCATGCGTTTTAATGGTTTAGGTGTTTTGAAAATACTGCAAGTACTTCACCACCTTCTGCCACATCTCTTTAGAAAGTGGTTTACCAGCCAAGAGCATGTGTAAATAGGGCCCAGAAGAATGAAGTTATTAGGGTTATTATAGGGAGCTAACACTTTTAGAGAAGTGGGTGGAAGAAACAGTGAAAACCACTTGAAAGTCAACATTTGCTCCAATTGCTACAAAAATATATTGATTGCCACTAACACCTGCTGTTCAGTTTATGGACTTTGTTTGCTCAACTACAAGACATCATCCCAAAGGCAGGCTGCTAAGGAGTCTGTTAGTTTAAATCTGGTTTTTATGTCTCCAACATGAACATTGTATCACTCCTATTTTTCCTCCACTACTACAAGAAATGCATGAGTCATTTCAACACCAGAAATGGTATAAATTCAGGAGAATTATACCATATCAGGACAGGATATGGTATATCAGGACAGGATATAATGCTCTCCATAACTCCTGCACATTTATTAGGTGTCCTTCTTTTCATTAGTTTGAATAACTTGCCAAATAATAATAGTAAAAATGTTCTGTTTTCTCTTTTTAACTTGTAAAGAAATGCAACTCTAGGAAAGCACAGTCTTTCTTTCTCCTTCCCCCACCAGTAACACAGAGCCTTCTAGTCTTTTGGAGGAGATATTTGAACAGTTGACACAGACCACTACACATAAAGCAGCAAATTTGCTGTGCATGATGTGAATAATTACTGCATTATAGTTTTGGGGTTTAGGGCAACTGCTGACTTAAGCAAAATAAGCCTGCAGTCCAGCTGCAGATCCAAGTTTTCAGAAGTTTTCTTGTGTTTTTCCCTTCAGTGCTGTCTCCCTTAACAGTGACCCTTTTCAGACTTTTCAAGGTACAAAACCTTTACCAAATCCTCGAGCTCAGTCCTGCACACTCTGCTTTCACACATTTGGCTGATCTGAGCTTCTCCCTCGCTAAATATTTTCCACTGGCCTGAAAACAAAAACACAAAGGAGACAGATATTGACTTAGAAAAGGGCACAGGGACTCAGAAGACATTTACAAGCACTCTGCAAACCAACTGATTCACAATGGTCAAAGAGGGAATGTCCAATCCTCCCATGGAAAATATTCGAAGCATCTTACAACCATGTAACATATTCCATGCAAAATAACTTTGTTAAAAAAGTAAATATGGATCAGAATATTACTATTTTCTTTAATTAACTAGTCCTGTAAGTTGGCTCTATTTATTCAACCATTTCATGACACTAGATACCCTGGTAAACCAAAGTATTTAAAAGCTGGGAAGCAACACAGCTAAATGTTTCATGTGCTGTGAACTCCTCCTACCTGTGCCTAATACAAAGTGTGATGGAAAATAATATTTCTACACATTAATGATAGTGGTAACAGAAATGCATGCTGTCCTGGTAACTAGAATAATACTGGCTACTAGAATACCTTGCAGATAACAATTACAAGCTTATGGAAGGCTGACAACAAAAAACTAGGGAATTTTTTATATGAAAACATATCTGTATCTCAATAGGTTTGTAACAATTAAGAATATATTATTTCTGGGGAAAAGACTTTTTAACTAGGGAAAAAGTTATACAAAAAAATTTCAAGTTGTAATATGAAAGAACTAGGAATTAAAAATATCTGCATCCTATTTCAGTTAGCAAATTAGTTGAATTACTAATTGTTAACTACTGTCACAATCCCAAACTGGATGAAATAAAAAAAACAAATTGAATCAAGAGTGGTAAAGTAGTACATGTCCTTTCACAAAACATATTTTAATAATGAAGGTGTTGTTAAGAACATAGGAAAGTAATCTTTCAAACACAACATAAGTGCATGTAGAACCCCTTTAAAAATATCTGATTTTTTTCCCTTCTAAATTACTTTCTAAAACACTGGGGTAACTTGACATGTTACATAAATAAATCCAAATTCTGCAGCTGTGCTGACATTAGTAATATTTCAGACTTACTCTAGCATGGGCAGAAAAGATCCTATATTGTACTTTATCAAAACACAAGAGACTAAGACAGCAAGTACATGAACTACTGTTATATGTATCTATATTTTAAATTGCTATACTTCGATTACTTAAATCTCAACTTATCAAATGCTGTGATCATATACTAGAGGAAAACTCAGTACATCCCTTTGACTGGGATGAGTAACAGAGAATGTTTTTCATGGCTATAATTATATGGAGAGTAGAAACCTCAGTAGGTCAGAATTTTACTTACTAAGGGTTGTCCTTGTTATCAACTTGAAGTAAGGAAGTCCTTCAAATTCTCTCTTGGACAATTTTTCAACATAGAAGTGATGCAGAATTCCTTCAGCAAAGAAATGAGAAGTGCATGTTACTGGAATGTGCCCATTGTTCTAAACCTGGAGTGCTGTCCTGCCTTTTTATAAAATTTTCAGTCTATTCTTTTTTAAATTCTGTTTCTCCATCCCTCTGTTTTTTTGCTATTCCCCTGTAAAACTATTCTCCTGTGAAGCTGGGATTGCAGCGAGTTTGTGAAGGGTGTGAGAATTAGCCAATTCTTTTCCAAAACATCGAATCCTTCCTAATTATGAGTAAATGCAAGATTACAACAGATGCCAAAAGTCCCAGTGTCTTGGAAAAAAACAGCATAAAAAATTCTGCAGTCAGATACCATTTTGAGCCAGCAGGCAACATGACTGTCAAATCATTATTAGGCTTTGTGGCTTTTTAACACACAAGGTAGTTGTGAAGCACCCAGTGTTTTGTGATTTCTTTTCTGCTCCCACTTTGGCCTTGGTTTTCTCCTTAAAGCATCTAGAGATGCATCATTTCCATGCAAAAGGGTGCACTGTGTGAGGGCTCCCCATGAGGATCATATGCTTTTTGCTTAAAGTAGATAGGGATGATTTTTATGAAGGTGGAGATAATTTTTATTACACTGAAAGTTTATGATTTGCAGTAGTGCTTGGGCTTCTGAATCTTCTCTATTTTGTTCTAATTTTACCAGTTAGTCTAGTAAAAGATATTGTTTCCATCCTTAACACATCTTTTGCCCATATTCTATATGCACCATCATGGGTGTATCATCACATGGCAGACAGGGCAGACGAATTTCAATGGAAAGCTTTTTGGTCCATCCTACGTAAGAGCCTCTAGGCACTTGTTTCAAACCCTACTATCCCTTTACCTGCAATAAATTACACAGAGTAATACTGAAAACCTATTTGTCATTGTGCTTTTGCTCCCAATGAAGGGTAGGAGTTAGCAGAAGTACAGCTTTGTGTGTTTCTAATCAGTTTTATACAGAAATATTTGAGTATGTTGGAAGTTGTGTAATAGTGATATCCTAAAGAGCCAAAAGAACAGCAAAATGCTTAAAATCTGTAAACTGTCCTGGGATTTTAATGGAAGATGATACACTGTTTAAAAAAAGAACTTTCTCAACTCACCTTTTTTAATTGTCCACACATGTATTTCTATTTGAGGTGGCTTTTCAATCTCTATTGCAATTTTCCTGATGGTTTCTCCTTCCTCTGTGAAAATGGATTCATAGACAGGAAATGTCTCTTTCCCACAGAAGTAATCTTTGTTGTCAAAGGTTTGGCTTGGCACATCTTCTGTTTAAAAAACAAAAAGGACAGAGCACATACTACAGCTATAATCAAGTCCTCCAGAATTTACTTGGCATCAATAGCCAAGAATGGTTAGTTTGAAAGTAGAATGTTCATTTGTATGGCCACACAAATCCATCTCCAGCTGTTAACACAGACACTTAACAGTGTTCTGCCACGTTCTGGTAGCCTGTTCATGGTGGTAAGACAGTATTTATACTTGTAATCCAGTTTCCTAAGGGAATGAGCTGTGTACAACAATGTGGTCTGGGAGACTCCTCACAAGTCTTGAACCTGTTGTCTACTTTTCAAGCATATTTTGAAATTATGTAAGAAATCTCAGGGTAGTAAAAGAACTAAATGAAAATTGGTGGTTGGTTAGAGTGAAGAGACTCAAATTAATGTTTTGCTGAGGAAAAGAATCTATGAGGTTTGCATTTTGCTTGGCAGCAGCCACGTGGTCAGTGCAAGCCTTAGCCAGCCACAGCACACATTATCCCTTGCCCACCTGGTAAAGTTGTAGAGACTGAGTAGAAATTGTAATTATTCTGTTTGCAATTGAAAGTTGGGCAGGAATATAAGAGAGATGATGCAACTTAGAGGCTCAGACCACTTTTTGTGGAAACACCTAACAATTAATACATCTCCACAGGTACAAGACAGACTGTAGGAAAAGGTTCAGGTTTCTTAAAAATGGGTACATAGGATCTCAAAAACCAAGGCAGTAACCTCCTTTTTGCCATGAATTTTTCTATTGAAGCCTGCTATCCAGGCTTTGTTGGCTGTTCTTCCAATGAAATCTGTGGATCTCTGCTTCACAAGTATCCAAAAGACCCAGATACACACCTCCTGGCTGCCTACTGCCACTGCATCGTGGTTTTTTCCCACTAAGCAAGACTAGCAGGAGAAGATGGGAAGTGTGCATTCTACAAATGTTTCTACAGTGGCTGAGCAGCTCATTCCCTCAGAGCATTCTTGCCCAGTGCATCACCAGAACACAGAAATGGGTACATAAGGGAACTGTTTAAAGGCACATAAGGGAGCTGGACAGTCCTTTACCATTTGTATTGCATGAAACGTGGCTTTTCATTTGGCAAAACCATCAGCAGAATCCTTTTAGGAGATTTTTCACTAGCTGTAAGCATTTATTTTAGTAATGTCTACATAAGTTTTATCATTAGTGCAGCATAGACACAATACTAAAGCTGTGATAAGTTAGTATTTATTTTAAGGATTAAGTTATGTAACTGACACCAATCAGAGTTATGAATCCTTCTGGTACATTTTAAAAAGCAGAAAGGATGTTATCTCCATGTGGATTTTAGAAGCTGGAAAATATTTGAAGGTTCTGTTGGCACTGTAGTGGGGGAAGGATGGGAGTCTTTTGGCAGTAATGAACTTTCTGTATACATTTCTGTAATACTCTCTTTGGAAATGAGCATCAGGAAGTTGTGTTAACAGCAGAGAGAAAGGCAGTGACTGCTAAGGACATGTGCCAGCAGCATGTCCCCTGTGTGAGGAGCAGCAGCAAGAGGAGAGGTGGCCAGGCAGCTCTGCCTGTCTCACACTGAGGCCCCTGCACACACACTGGAACATGGCACAGCTGCTGCTGCTGTTCACATCAGAGCTTGTGGTCAGGAGGCTTGAGCCAAGCCCTTTAACATGCACAGCAAAAAGGTGGTCTGTGATCAACTTTGTTTTACCTGGACAGACTTTACAGCATTTTCCTTCTACTTTCTGAGGGTATTTGCAGGGATATTGTTCTGGACAGTGAATTTTCTTACATTCTTGTTTGGTGATGTTGCAGGTGCACAACACACACTCTACGACTCCAAAGGCCCGGAGATTGGGATGCCAAGATTCACCATGTGAGTATGTTTTGCCATTTGAAACACAAACTACAGAACAAAAGAGAAAGAAAAAGTTCAAGTGGAAAAGGTACGTTCACTTCCTACCTGTCTATAAATATTCATTTAATTCATGCTCATTGTTTAAAGTAGTCTTTCTATACATCATCTGTTAGCATCTCAGGTCCATTTCTCTGCTTTTTAATTTTAACTTGTAGTTCCTTTATTTAAAATGAGTCTGAGCCTGTGGTCACCCTCTTCTGAGCAGTTTTTCCTTGATGCCAACTCTGCTGAAGTCCATTAAGTTTTGAGGAAAACAGTGAAGGTCAAGTGTCTGACTAGCTCCCTCCACCCCAGTTCATGCATTTCAGTTATGCATTAACCAGCTTAGAAAACTCACTTCTTCCCCTTGTATTCTCAGTCCACACACAGGACACAGCTTGCTACAGTGGCTTTGGCTGCATTTGAATTGAATTTGGAGATAACAGGTTCATGTCATTTGAGTCCTCTGCACAGCTCCAGCCATTTGCTGAACACAGCCTTTGCAGTGAGAGCAATGCTATCAGCTGGCTGGATTAGTGATACCTGGGCCTTTTATTGCTAGTACATGAGAATTCTGCTATGTAGCACACAGAAAAAAAACACAGAATACTTGCAAAATGGAGTTTAATTCCTTTGTGGAAATATGTATGTCGATAGGAATATAAATTCATTTGGCTTTTGGAATCACAAGAAAACTTGAAAAGATTCATTAGGGACTGAAATTTCATTCCAAAAGCTTCTAAGAACTTCAGAATATTTATTCATCAGAGCCCCTGGGATTCAGAGAAATACAGCTGACACAAAGAGAGTGGAAAAATCCATGCTGGTAGAAGCCACTTTGGGTCACCCAGCAGTTGATGGGAATTAAATCACTTTACACCATGTTTCCATTTGTCCTATAAATCCTACTTCTTTCTTTTTAAATATTTTATAAACACAAAGAAAAATGCAAACTAATCCTAACAAGGTGAAAGAAAGGGCACTGCCTGATTTCTAAAAGCAACAAAAGTGAGCTGGGATATGTTGTAAATATTTCCAATTCTTCTAATATGCCATCATTTTTATTAATGTTTTTTATTTGTAAAATATGTTCCTATTTTGCCCGTAACTTTCAAAAGCAATTTAAATTTTATCTGTAATCTGAAATTTATATCTAACTGGTAACAGATGTAACCAACTGGTTTATATATTTTAGTGAGTTACTGAGATTTATGGGGAGTGTTTTTTGCAATGTCTTTCATGAGCTTATGCTATCATTTTGCTGGCAATTTGCTACTTTTTAACTATTTTTTTAAGACATGGGATTTTTTTTAGAGATAGGAAACAGTTTTGTTTCTCAAATAAAAGTGAAGTTTTATCTGTAAACTAAGAACATGGGAGAAAGAACTAGAAATGAAAAAACTGGTAAGTACTCAGCTGCTCAGCAGGTTTCTTACATGCTTAAATACCATACTATTGCTAATTTGTATGCTTCCATGGACTTCTTTTCCCCCCAGCCAGAGTTCTCCAGATCCTTTATGGACGTAAATACTTCTGAGCTGTCCCTGACAGATGAAGGGATAATATATGACATTGTATGGATACATACTCTCTGTCTTTTAAGGGGTTTTTGACACAGAACAATTAAATAAATACTCTGAGGCAGGAGATGAAGACTCTAGTAGAAGCCAAATACTGGCAAATAACTTCTAGTTCTCCTGTTTTTAGTGCTCTTCATGCTCAGAATGAGAAATCTGTATCCTCACAAGCACACAGTATTTGCATGTCAGAAGAGCTGTGAGTTTGTTCTTTAACTTGTTGAAATGTGTCTCAAGGGACATGTGCATTAATTACTAAAACACTTGTTAATTGCACAGGAACAAAAGAAAACACATGGTCAGCATTCCTGTTTCCATCATGGGGATCTCTCAGACATTCTCCAGGCAGTGAGTGTCTGAAGTTAGACTGCATCCAGAAATATGCTGCTCGTCTGTATGTCCTTTATTTGCTGAAACAAGTCAGTTAGAAACTGCTTTGATGATGTCTTCATGTGCAAATTACATGTCAAAGACATTGCACTGTGTGGAGATTCCTGCTCCTAGATTCACCATAAAACACTGGCATGATCTGAATGCTTTTTCATGCTTGTTCAGGTGGATAATAAAGATCCTATAGCCAACATTCCTTCTGTTAGTTAATACCTTAAAAGATTAGTTGGCCCTAATACAAGGGATTTTAACTCTTTGTGGTAGTTTCTAACTATGCTGACTGGTATTTATGGATAGATGCTCTTCTGAGCATGTGTTTTTACAGCTATTTCTTTTATAGCTTCCTAGGCCTGTTCCTGCAGACCTCTGTTCACAGAGGTACACCCCCTGTGGGAACTGAGCATTCCAACCTTTTTAGTGTACAAAACCTGCTGTCCCACTTACTGGTGAACTGGTATTTTCCCTTTATTTTTGTCCTTCCTCTAGTGCATGAGGAGCATGAATTGAATATGGTTTGTCACATGGGCTTAGAATTCTGCTGTCCCCAAAATGTAGCATGTCCTATATTCTATTAGAAGGAGGCACTAAAAGATTCTTTACACTGAGAATCATTACATTGGTTAAATTTGCCTCTCTACAGCTTGGGCATCCAGTACAGGCTAACTGCCTACTCTGCCTCTTGTGTTAGTCACAGAGTAGGGAGATATCCCTTGTATCCCACTGTCTCAGGAAACTTGTTAAGGTGGGGGAAGACATGAGACTGTCTTTCGTGAGAATAATTTGCTAAGTCTTGGAGGCCTGATACTGTGGCAAAGCTTTATGGTCTGAGATTTGCAGGGCAGTTGAAATATAAGCTGTTTGCAGCTGTAAAAGTTACAAAATAGGAGAGAGTGTAAAGAAAATAGTCACAATTTCTTCCAGGACAAGTCACTGTGTGAACAAGTTAGTGAATCTAAAGGCATTGTGGTGTCCTTTGTGACACAAAGCACTCACTTCCCTGGCAGCCACCACATGAGCTCTCAGAATTATGGGGCACAATCCCACAAAGCAACTCAGAGAGCAACACTACTTTTGCAGAGCGAAATGCAATGTTGTACATATAGGCAGACCTGATCTCAGTCAAGAAGGAATTTCATATCCTCCATAGCTTATTGCTTTTGCCTCCCTCATTTGCATGGGATCTCTCAATACCAGTGCGAATTTTCAAGATCCTGCTGTATATTTTGAGAGGTCTTTTTGAGCTCTAGGTGGCTGATCCTGAGCCAGAGCAATCCTGGCAGAAGTGCCTGTCCTTACCTCGGCCGTGCCGGTGCTTGTTGTTGATGACGATCTGGACGATGGTTCCCGAGGCCTGCTGGGGGTCGGGCAGGACCCCGCGGTTGCTCCTGGCACTGGGGAACCGGGGCATGTTCACTGCCTGCCTGCCTGAGCTGCCTGCCTGCTCGTAATGGGAGCGGGGGTAGGAGTGTCTCTGGGGACAGAGAGAGAGAGGAGAGTCAATGTCTCATTGCAATGAACAAGGGGCACGAGTAGGGAACGAGTACTGCTGGATAAAAGTAGGTGTAGTAGTGCATAGCATGTTTTCTAAAAACACTGCTTCTTTTCAGAGAAGCATTTTCCTAAATGCCCATGAGCCTGAAGGTTTCATATTACAGCCCTTATTTGTGACTGTGTTCGCAGGGGTCTTAGGATGAGGGAAGAGACGAGGATCTGACTCCATGTTTCAGAAGGCTTGATTTATTATTTTATGATATATATTATATTAAAACTATGCTAAAAGATTAGAAGAAATGATTTCTTCAGAAGGCTAGCTAAGAATAGAAAAAGAATGATAACAAAGGCTTGTGACTGACCAGAGAGTCTGGACAGCTGGACTGTGATTGGCCATTAATTAGAAACAACCGCATGAGACCAATCACAGATCCATCGGTTGCATTCCACAGCAGCAGATAATCATTGTTTACATTTTGTTCCTGAGGCATCTCAGCTTCTCAGGAGAAAAAATCCTAAGGAAAGGATTTTTCAGAAAATATCATGGCTACACTTATTTTATAGACATGATTCTTCTCACTCACCCAAAGATCTGCTGGTTCGTGTATTTAAGTAGTGCACCTAATGCTTAAAAGCCCTACAGATTCTCTCCAAATGTTATAAAAATCATCTCTTGAGCAGTAAGTTGTTAATGGATACTTTTATCACCAAAGACAGTGAAGCCCTATAGTAAATATATGTGTGTATGTGAACTGGAAGCAAGTATTTGCAATTATTATTTAAAAGCAATTCTTGCATAGCAAACCAATGCTGTCAAATTTTATTCTTATAGAGCATATACAGAAAAAAAATAAATCCAGAGACTTCAGGAGCTCTTGCTCTAATTCAGCATTATTCAAGAATTCAGGTTGAGTGAAAGAAACTTGTTTTGGGCTAGATTCACAGAGCCCAGAATGAAGCAGTAGATATTCAGACCCTTTATCATCCTTTTCTGATTTTTCCCCAATGTACTGCCATGCCCAGCACAGCAAGAAAGTCTGTCTTTAAACTGTATGTCCCACTTACAGCTTCCCTGTTGGCTGGCTGCCGGAATATGTCTCCATCAGAATGTTCCCATGATAATTCTCCATCTCCTGTACATGAAGCAGAACAGTATCCATTAGAAGAGTAACTGTGCAACACCTTGGGAGATACAGAGGGGAAAAGTCTCACCTGGCTTTACAGCTGTATTAGGTTCTAGTGGGTAGCAAGGAATGAATACAAAAATCAGCATATTTTGATAGTAATATACTTGGCCATGCAGGGAGCAGAAACTGACTCACAGTTTCATCCCCGTGAGCTGTGCTGGATCTTTGCAAATATTTTGTTTAGGTTTGCATGTCATAGAAAACACAGCAGTGAGATAAAAGAGCTTCTGCCATATTGAAAAGGACAAGGTAGATTATGAGATCATTTACCATTTTTAAATAAGAGCAGTAGACAGGAGAATACATTTTAAAAGCCCTGGATCACTGCAGACAGTGGGTCGCCTCTAGTGCATAATCTGATGTAATCTCAGCCCTGCTATGGAAATGCTAATGAACTGGTTTCTCATTAGTGACTGTGAATGATGTGACTGATTTCTCCAGTGTAAGGCCAGTTTACTGCATAGCTATGTTTGATACTTTGAAAGTCAGATTGATTTTTGTAACTGGAAGAGGCTGGTTTCAGATACAGCTCAAATAACTACCTGGTAACTGACATCAGACAATTAACAAGGATTTTCTTTAATTAACTGTCAGTGTATTACAATTAAACCAGTATATCACTGTATTTCTTCCTGGGAACAGAACTATCACTTTGCTTGTTTGAGATCAGGTGGCTTCACAAGCATTTTGCCTGGCAAAAAGTTTCAAGATTTGAAAAGATACTGCGGAGTAACATGGCAAAGCAGCAAAGAATGAGGAACAATCTCTGTGCAAGGAGAACTGCAGAGAGACCCTCATCCTTGTTCTGTTTGAGGTGATGTGCTCATGCAGCACAGATCACTGCCCTCCTGAGAGATCAGCTCAGCTCCTCCATGGTGCCACACCTAAGTTAATCACCACTGCATGGTCCCCAGAGGAAGCAGCTTTGTCACCCTGCTGCACTGACAGGACTACACAGCTTCTGTGCAAGACTCATTCCTTCAAACTGCACACAGTTCTCTCTGCATCCTGCTGCTTTATTAGCACTGATGCACTCTCAAGTACCTTCCTGCTGGCTCAGCCCTCCACTGCTCAGAGCTTTTGGTTCAGTTTGTGCACTCAGCCAACTCCTCACGTCAGGTGCTGTGGGACTATGCTGGTTTGTGTTTCACAGCTCTTGCACCATAGGGAAAGGTATACAACTAACTAGATAATACTCCTTATTTTTACCATGCAATAGCACTGAGTTCAAACAAGCAGAATATCAAAAGAATGAAGCAGCACAAAGGTGCAAGCAGGGGAGATATTCAAAGCATCCTGGCATCATTGATATTTTGAGTGGCACTTCTGAAAAGCATAGGTACCTGTAAGTGCTTATCTGCAGCTTTGAGAACAGGCCATAGATGCTTGGATACCCTGAAAGTGGTGGTTCAAGTGCCATAATACTAATAGTGAGATAAAATACATTTAGAAATTCTCAGACATTTTGGGCTTTTAGACAGACAGTTAGGTTTAGACATTCAGAGAGGCTGGGAAGGCCCCTAGAATCAAGTGTCCACAAGATCTAAATTGCAATTGCTAGTAAAATACTGAAGTCACTTGAGTATTGTCTGATACCTAATTTAAATTCAAATAATTGCCTTTGCCTCTGAATTTAAATTCTCGTGTCTTCCACAACTTGAGTAGGTCTGCTAACTTGTCAAATAGAAACTCATCTTTTTATTACAAAGCTTCTCTAGACAGAGTAATGGCAGCTACTTCAATACATCATTTAAAGCCTTAATTTACCTCATTGGGGGGATGCAACTTTATCATCAGAGCATTCTCACCTTGTTTCAATTTAGGAAAACAAAGATAGCAATGTTACCTTGCTGGCACTCACAGAGTAATTTCCCAACATGCCTTGGATTGTAATTAAATGAGAAACTTGGAGAAAGTGTCCTGACTGACAGTGCTGGGGCACAGACAAGGCTCTGAAAGGGGAAGACTAAGTTCAGAGCCTGTCCTCCTGTGACGGGGCTTGAACGTACCTCTGCAAACTGGACAGCAGGACTCTGGAACAGAAACTGGGAAAGAGCAAGTTAACTTGGGGCAAGTCTTCAATCCACAGTACACATTTCCTTCCTGGCAGTAAAATACAAAAGGGAATTTAGAAGGAATTGTTGATTGTCTGGTACTGTATATTCTTTTTTTTACGGACATGCTTAAATCTGTGTTTACATAAATAACACTCTATGCAAAAAGCAGAATATTAGATTAGAACAGTCTGTTCAGTACTTGGCCTATGCAATTATTAGTTCATGAAGAATATGATTATGATGTTATGAGAGGAAACAGAGAGCTGCCAGTAGTTGATACTGAAGAGCTGGTTGAATTGAGAGGGATGTTTTGGTTCAGACATGCTCTGAAGAGTCACTGGGTGACTGCTCAAATATACTAGATTTGAATTGTGAGATCTCAGGAATGGCTCTGTGGCCCAGTGCCAGCTCAATGCTGTCCCCTCCCAGCCTTGGGGCTCTTTACATATCAGCTCAGTCTAAATTAAATCAGTCATTGGTTTAGTGCTATATTTTCCAGTTAGGTTGAAGGGAAATATTCTATATATGCTAAGCAGCAGTATTTTACCTGCTGCCTGTGCACTGTGAGCTCAGTCATAGCAGATGCAGGGTATGCATTGTGCACTGTGTTTAAGATTTCATCTGGCATTTATTTACCAGGTACTGCACACTCTCACCAGCTCTGAGCACTCTCATGAGTTTCATCATTAATTCTCAATTCCCAGCCTTTGCTATGCATTGCTTATATTTCAGTGTCATGTCTTCTACAAAGGAGAACTGGAGCATAGACAGAGCAGGATCTGTCAAATCATGTTACTTACTGAGCAGCTGCACTGGGCACACTGGTTTGCTTGCCTGTTTTGGAAAAGGCCCTCAGCCACAAACATTTCTCCATGGTGGTAGGTGGTGCCATTGTATTCACAGGATTTCCCGGTGATTTTGCTGCTTACTGAGAAAAGGGAGTCTTCTGGAAGCAAGGGGAAAGGAACATTTCATGCAAATGTTCTTGAAAATTCACAATGTCATAAATACAGGAGAGGAAAAACTTCCCTTCTCCCTCATTTCTCTTTATTGTGGAAGAACAAGTTTTGTGATACTGCCAAGTACAAGTGATATGCTACTATCTTGCTGAACCTTGGTAAATGACACTTTGAGGTGACTGTCCCAGTTAATCCTAGGATGCTGACAACCAACTGCAAGGCCAGCACTAATGGCCCTGTCTCAGGTGTGCCACAGGGCATGGATCATTCCCGGCCATCCACAGGCACAAACCTTTTGGTAGAGGAGCAGCAGTAATGATGATGGGACTGCCAAGAGAGAGCCATGTACTATTTGTTTCTAGTGGCTTTCACAATTCATTGTTGCTGCTGTTTTCAAAACGGGCAAAACTTGTCAAAGCAGATGCCAAAAGCTAACCAAAAGTTGATTTTTCTCTGACACGCACTAATGCACTCTCATTTTAATGTCAGATGTACAGATGAGAGAACTTTGCAGAATTTGATGCATATGACAAAGTGCACAATATGGCAGCATCAATTCAACTCTGAAACCTCCTGCTTCAGCTCAGGATCATATTGAGTTCTGCACCACATGGGTTAAATGTTTTTCTAAGACATAAAGCTATCCATACCTTATGCTAAAACATCCCCTAGATTGTTTAGCTCTTAGCAGTTGATAAACTGTGCAAAGGGAGTACACTTTAACCATGAAATGTAAGTTACTTGATACTGCTTGGGCAGTGAACTTGGCACTACATATTTATATTCACATGAATTTAGCATCTCAGCATGGGAAAAGACGTTTCAAACAGGGGCTCTGTGGAAGTAACAGTGGAGTGTTTGTTCTCTGGAGCCCAAATCACAGCAGATTTCTAGGAATGCAGCTGAAATTTCAATCAGTGGGTTTGGGCTTTCATGTAAAAGAAACCTGAATATTCAGGTTTTCCTGCAGTCCCTTTCATTACCTATCAGATAAACCTGGAGATATTTTTCTGTGAAACCATGACACCACAGAATGTACAATTTTCTGCTGTGAGCTCAAGTGAAAAGGCAGTTTTCTGCTGGTATGCACTGCCATTAAACACATTTAGTTTTCCATAAAAGCATGTATTAATAACATTGATCCATCAAATATTAGCACTTTAAATGTGTAATGTGAAATCTGTCTGTGGAACATACATGTACTACTGTATTTGAGAGTGTATGGGGTCAGCAAAGTCCATTCTGTAGGAGACTGGCAGAAGTCAGCTAGTCAGGGTTCCTTGCCTGACCTTTCACTGCCTGACACATTTGGTATTTGTACTTCCACAGGTGAAACACTGGATTCATCATTATATCAAAGCAATCAAGAGTGTCAAATGACACCTTTCCAAAATCTTATAAAGAGTACAAAGTCCTGACAACATCTGCGTTTGGCACAGAAATGCATTGCTTTTGGACTTACTGTATGGTTTGCTAGTAATGCACAGTCTGGAATGGCAAGATGTATGCTCTAATTAAGAAATCCTTCAAAAGTCATCAGGAAAAAATTCAATTGACAAATTCAGCTACTATTTATGCCCAAATATTGGAAAACATGGATTAAAAGGCACTTTTCAGGACTGGGATGCCTCCCAAAACTTAAATCTCTTTCCTGGGTTTTCTGAGAGTCATCTCATGGAAAGCAGGAGGAAAGGCTGACAAACCTTTAGTTATCCCCTTGCCCCTTGAGCAACTGGAAGAGCAGAAGACTGGAAAGAAATTAAAATGGGAGGAGAAATGAAAGGATAACACAGATGGTCCTTGACTGGAGACAAGGCCCTGTTCACAGAGCCTCTGCAGGACATTGCTGTGCCCATGTGGGATGCCTGTCCAAAAGCAGTGTGTGTTCTGCTTGTGGTCTGACATTTGCTAAGACCAACACCTGAATGACTCACCATGACTTTTCAGAGTGTTGGATGAAGGGAGTAAATTTTACTGCAGATTTATCTTGTTATATGCCACATCACTCAGTTCTGTAGGAAATCACCAAATGCCCTTAAACTGTGGCTTCAAAATAAGGAAGGAGGATGGTGAAACCTATTGCTTGGAAAATGGTGGCAGAGAGAGCTGCACTAGGTAGTTGTTTTCATCTGTATTTCTTTTAATTGATCACAGAGGTGGGCCTGTGACAGCTAAATCATTACATGCAGCCCAAAACACATCTACATCTGCCTGTCTGGAATTTGGGATGAATTTCTATGGCTATTTTAAACCAGAGAATCACAGGATCATGAAGGTTGGAAAGGACCATTAAGATTATCAAGTCCAACTTTCAACTTAGTACCACCGCCATGATCACCACTAAACCATGTCCTCAAATGCCATAACCACATGTTTTTTGAACACTTCCAAGGATGAGGATGCCACCACTTCCCTGGGCAGTCTGTTCCAGTGCTTGACAACCCTGTCTGTCAAAACATTCTAAACATACCTAATGTAAACTTGCCCTGATGCAACTTGAGGCTATTTCCTCTCATCCTGTCACTTGTTACCTGGGAGTTGAGATTGACACCCACCTCACTACAACCTCCTTTCAGGGAATTGAAGTCTTATTTGATTAAATAATTGTAAGAGAAGTCAGTCTCCATTCAGGACATAAGACCATGATTTAAGTCCTATGCACAGGCCTGTCCATGTGGTCATCTTTTAGCACAATAAGTGACTGGACATATTTCATTATTGCACAGAGTGAGGTCTTAAAAAGTCTTCAGATCAAGACCATATTACTTGTTATTGCAAAAAATATATATACAGTCATATATTGGAGATGGCATATTGAAGAGCACAACTGATCCTCTCCAAACACAGCATTTGCCTGGAGCTGCAAGGAAGATTTGTTTATTTTTTTGTGTCTAACTTTGCTGGTGTGTGACTGATTTTCTTAACTCAGACTTGGTTTCTTTTCTAATGCTTTTTAAATCATGGCTAATTAGAGGAGTTCAGATTCCCCCATGATTTCATATTCTCCTGTAGAATGTGAAATTAGAGTCATTGTGGATTGTTTTAATAAGTGCCAGGTTTGAGCTTTGAAAAATTTGGTCATTAATACTGATATCAGCATACCTTATTCTGTGCCTTAGAAAAGACAGGTTAGAATCAGATTAATTAACTGCAAATATGCTGCATTGCTCAAAGCTCTATTTGTAAACCTTGCTTGCTAATCAGGACTGTTCCCAAAGCTTTATCTGGCATTTTAATGGTGCTGACTAACATTGCTTTAATTAGCTGCCTCTGTAAAGTACCAGGCAAACCATCTGTGTGAATCCTTTTAATTAACTGGTTCCATCTAAAGGTTTTTCCTGGCATTCTTAGCATGTCAGTGGAAGCAACGTACAATGTATAGGGTAAAGATGTTATAGCATCATTGTAAAGGAAATATCTCTGTTTCTGTGGTTGGCATTTATTCTGTAAGGGCTCAGACTTCTGTATAGAAGTTGAGAGGCCATGCTTATATTTCCCTACAATTTTAGTGTGATCAAGATAAGACCATGAGTCTGCAATATGGACAGCAGTGATTTATCACCATCATTAGCATGAGGTAATGGCAGGAGCCAAGATGTACAACCTGGGCTTCACATGACCTGATATAGATTTCAATTTATCCTGTAAGTAACTTTAGAGGTTAAATCTGGCTGAAGAAATCCTTCAGATGTTACAAACAGACAACAGAATACAACTGTATCAAAAATGGATTATATTCAAAACAATTCTTTTTTAAAAAGCAACTGGAGAATACAGTAGCTATGCCTGAATCCTTATATCCAAACATTCCTCTTTTCCAAACATGGGGTTCTGTCCAGCTTGTCTGCCTGGCCTGTTTTTCACTGATGCCCCATACACACAGGGTAAATTCCAGGCTTGATGAAGGCAATAGAAAGGTTTCCTTCAGGATTCAGCCAACATATGTGCTTGAATGCTGACTGTTGATCAATACAAACAGGATTTGTATCAACTCAGACCTGATGTAAAACTTGATGTGAAAGTCAACTATGAACTAGAAGTGCATACAGGTATAGTTCACAGATTTCATGAACTGTGGTTCATTTGACAGAACATGCAAAGAAACACTATGGCAAAAATTTTGCCATGAAAGGATGCTACCTCAGAGTGAACTGCAGCACCAGTGCTTTCCTGATAGTCTGACAAAACAGTGTTAGATATGAATTTCATAAACCACCGAAATTTTATGGAAATTTTCTGGTTCAATGGAATCTGTTCTAATCACATATTTTTTCATGGAAGCCTGTCTGGGTTCCTGATGCTCTGCCCATACTTGAGGTGTCCAAGGGCTAAGGTTTGAGGGAAGAGTCAAAAATGTACACATACCCGACCTTCCAGTCTTCTGGGAAAAACAGATTGTGTATCACATGGCTCACAGTCAGTTTTGGAAACACCATCTTTCAGCTTTTTATGTTTACAATTCTATTCCTTCCTGGATTGTTATAAAAACTTGGTCCTGAGATGCTTTACCCTTACTTGGATATAAAGCAGAAGAGCAACAGTTATTTGCTACTAATCCCTTGAATGGCTTAGGCAAATTCCATGGGCAGTTCCTGATGTTTAAAACATTGGTAATTTCTGCAAAAGTATTTATGTGCAGAGTAAAAAGCAGTAACCAGCTATGAGCAATCTAACCTTTTGGGAAATGGGAGATGACTTATTTGAGGAATGGCTTTAGGATCCAGGCCTTACTACAATCAATTAAGTGCTGAACTTGGATCCTTCTGGATAAAGACAAGAGTTACAGGTAAAATTACTAATGAACGATTTAGGACACTCCCTAACAAACTGGGAAAACCACCTTAGAATCAGTACAGTCATGGCATGGTAATCAGTAAAGTGTTTATGGGTGACATCTGAAAGACAAAAAAATCAGCTGCTTTTGGGCACTCCTTGCCATTGGGGACAAGGAGACATCTTGGCTTTGTGACGGTCACTGTGCTTGGCT